ATGCCCGAAATAACAACACACAAACTGTATTCATTTAAGAACTGCTTGGCCCCTGAACTCTAGCCCTTACAGGCTAATTCTCGCATCTGGACTAGCCCATTTCTAATGATCTGTGTAAGCACCCCAAGGTGCGCTTACCGGGAAGATTCTAGCCTCTGTCCATCCTGGGAGAGTTGAGCATGGCGTCTCTGCTCCAGCAGAGCTGTCAGGTCTCTCCCGGAGCAGAGCAGAGTCTGACCTCACTTCCTCTTCCGCCCAGAATTCTATTCTGTTTCCTCCTCCCATCTATGCTCTAAGCTAAGCCAAGCAGTTTCTTTATTGCTCAGCCAATGAAATCAACAGATTGATATATGACACTCCCACATCAGACTACCATGCTTCTCTGCACGGCTCTCTCCATGACACCAGGTGAGAAGTGTCACTGGTAACAATTTCTACTACGTGCCTCTGCCTTCACATGAAAATTTGGTCACGATGCAAATTAAAATATCTCCTTCCTCACAGAATAAATAAATGGTAGTTTTAAAATAAGAAAACTGTAAGAAATAAGGCACTGTTAGTTTAGGATGGAAAAGAAATATGATTATGATTATAGTTTTATTATCCCATCTCACCACCTCCCTATGTTCATATAACAAAAATACAAGTCATTAAATATGTTTACTTTCAAGTGTTCATCGTTTTGAAAAAAAAGTATATTACTGCCATTTAAAAACTTTATTATGTTATCCTATCCCACATTTCATAAATTTAGAAAAAAAGAAAACTAGAGAGATGTTAGTCGAAGCGTGTGAAAATTATCCAAGCCTCCTGTTTTCAAAAAGTAATCATGCACTAGAAGAGGCTTTCTGAAATAAGTATGCTTGGCTGTTTTATTACAAATAATTTATTCAGAGAACTCATTTATTCATCATTCTTACAGCTTCATTGTCGGCTGGTTTACTTAGCTGCTATCTGGTCTTGTCTTTCTTCTCCCGAGGCAACAGCAACCAAAGCTTCAGTTGTGACTCTCCACACATCCTTCGAACCTCCTCATACCTGGGTAGAAAAAGTCTCTCTTTGTCCATACCTTTACAGTCCCATCTGTGCTGCCAGTCAAAAGCCGGGTCTCATTTGCATCCAAGGCCATGGTGCTGATCTCTGCGTTGCCATGGCAACCAGAAAACTGTTTGATTTTCTGCCCGGTTTCTATCATCCAGAAGGAAACAGTAGACCCCACATCAGAGCTGATTACCTAGGGGAGAATAGCATAGTGAAGAAATGAAATACAGTTTCAGGATCAACCACTTCCATTTCAATAAAAAAAATATCTTGACTGTGCATTTTCACCGCTGAGATCCCCCAGCAGTTAAACACATTTTTTGCATCGTGTTATTCCTTCTGTTTGTTAAGCTGATAACATTTCAATTTGTAGGCCAGAGCTGAAGTAATGAAGTCATGATTCCCTTTATTATAGAAGATAGTTATCTGTTTCCTTGACCCACCACGCAGCCCGACTGTCTAAAGGCCATCTTGACTTAATACCTCATTGCTAATAAACATGTAAATCTTTCACGTTCATTAAAGAAAGGCAAATCTCATAGTTACGCTACTGAGACACTATTCACTAAACAAAACGGAACTTTTAATTTGTGATCTACTTCCGTGTAACACTAATAAAACGAGGCGCTTCAGGCCACTATGGGAAGTAGTTAAGGTCAACACATTACTGAACCTGCTACTTTTTTATGCCATAAGTCCTTTTCTTTCTCTTTACTCAGAGTGTTTTGTGTGTGTGTGTGTGTCTGCGTGTGTTTTACAATTATTCATTTATCACTGAAAACAAAGAGCACAGGTAAAATATAAATCCACATATACATATACACCTCAAGAGGAAAGCAACAATACAAATGCTAGGAGGAAGAAGATTAAATATGATAAGAATGAGAAAATTTGTGTTTGATAGAGGCAAGTCAACCACATCTTTCCACTCTAGATATGCAACATCTATAAGGCATTTTTTTTTTTTGTTAAAAACTCCTTTACCAGTGAGACTGTAGAGGTCTAGTTAATGAGAGAATACTGATAAGGACATGAACATGTAGACGGTGATTTCTCTAGGGTAATACTTTGCTTTTGAGAAGACAAAGTATTTCCCTACTGTTTACATGTTAAGCGCCATTCTATAAATGCAAACTTATTGAGAAAAGTTTTTTATTTCAGATCACACGTGTTGAAGGAATCAAATGTATGTTAGTAAGGCTACCACTGGTGGTGATCATAAACACAGGCATGCATTCTACAGGCACTTGCTGAATATCCAGACTGTAGCAGAAGGACTTTAATGATGAATTCCTAGTTTCAAAAACTCTAGATCTATGGATGAAAACCTCCATGTAGAGTCCAGAGGGATGGTTCAGTCTGTAAAGAGCTTGTCACACAAGCGTGAGCAAATGGGAACTTTAAAAAAGAGCCTGGACACAGCAACACACCAGACTTCTTATCCTACTGATCACTTGCAAGCTTGAAGGCATTAGTGGTCCATGATTTTACCAATGATTCTTGACAGGTAATTCTTTTTGCCCACCTTTTGTAACTAGTCTTGCTACTCATGGTGAGAGTGGAACAGTGTGGCCTACCTTTATCCACTGCAGAACCCTATGATACTTAAATTTCACTTAAAAGATACGAGGACTTTTTATTGAAAAACATTAAGAAATTCAGTGAAGGCCAAGTTCAATGCATGTGAAGGGACAAGGAAATTAATTGTCTTGGTTAGAATTTCTATTGCTCTGGTCAAACTCTATGACCGAAAGTAAGCTGGGGAGGATTGAGTTCCTTTCACCTTATAGTTTGCAAGTACATCACAGAGAAAAGCCAGGGTAGGAACCTGAGGCAGGAGCAGAGGCTGGATCGCTGCTTACTGACTTGTTCCTCATGGCATCTTCAGTCTGCTTTCTTACAGCACTCAGGACCATTAGCCTCGGGGTGGCACTGCCCACAATGAGTCGGCTCCTGCCTTAGTTACTGTTCTATTGCTATGACGAGACACCATCCCCAAAGCAACTCTCACTAAAATAAACACTTAAACATGGACTCAAAGCCCACTGCCAGTGACAACGTCCCTCAAAGAGGCCACACTTCCAATTATTCCCAAACAATTCCACTAACTGAGGATGAGCATTTAGGCAATGAGCCCATGGGAGCCATTCCTATGCAAACCACCACAAGCCCTTACATCAATCACTAATTAAGAAAACACCACACTGGCTTACCCATGGCATCACCTTATGGAGGCATGGTTTGTTTTTCAATTTAAGTTTCCTCCTCTCAGAGGACTCTAGCTTGTGAGAGTTGACATACGACTAGGACATAGTCATTGGAAACATAATCTCAGAGCAACTGTGATTGTCTGCACAGAATGTTCACAAGACTGGAGCTAGCAACTGTTGATCGTGGATTAAGGAAGCAGTCACATGGGACCCAACCTTTCATTGATAAACTATTGGCAACTGGAAGATTCTAGAAGAGAGGGAGTCGTTGTCTTCAGTGTACGCCCGATCAAGGGATCCACTGGAAAGTTCCAACCTTGTGGTAACACAGACAATTCTGCTTAAAATGACTGAGTCACAAAATAAACCAAAAGTGATATGTATGTAATAAAGGAACATATAGGCATAAAAGTGTATGGCAGGAGATTAAAGAGTGGGTGAGACCAAGAGTAATTAGAGTGTATTAATTATATACATGTATGAAATTGTCAAAGAAAAAAGTTCATGAGTTAAAAAGTGAGAGGAAAGCCACAGTTATTAAAAAGGAGAGGACTGCTGTGGAGGATGTTGTTGGTAGAGACACAGAAGAGCAGAGAACAGAGAAGGGATGTAAGAAGACCACTCAGAGCCAGCTGGAATCACGCATGTAAAAGAGTCTTGGCTAAGCAAGTCATTCTAAGGTAGAAAGGAGAGGAGAGGTTGAAAGAAGTAACAAACCGCTGGTAAAGTTTACGTTTCAGAGAAACAGAAAAGAATCAGGATCAGATCTCTTTTAAGCTTTGTTCTCTTCACCGAAGCTTCAATTCTGATTAAATGATTCCTTAAATGACATGAAATATTATTATTGAGTTAGGGGAAGACATCAAAGTTGAATGGCCTGTATCTTTGAAATAATGTGACCTAATATTTTTATCATCCTAAGCATATGCTTGTTTCCACTTGATTTTGTTTGAGCACCCAGAATCTCCAGCAAATGTGCTCAAGTCTGTCTGTTTCACTAGTTAATTGTCTGACGTTGGGCATGAAAGTCAATCATATTAATTAACCTCTGTAGGCATCGCTTTACCCATCTGTGATGCAGAGATAATTACAACTAACAAAACCTTGTTAAAAGGGCTTAAAGAAACTAATGTTTGTAAATCGCTAACTACAGCATATGGCATTGCTGCAAGTAAGCTATAAAAGTTAGCCATGTCACTCTTCTAAGGCTCATTGCTGTAGGCTATTATTGATGCTCGTTCATCTTTTATATTCGAATTAAAGAAAAATAATATATGACTTTCTGATAGGATACCACACCAATGAATGAAGATGATTATAATTTTAGAAACTAGAGTTCAATGTACATTGAAATTTCAAATATATCATGGCTCTTATCTTACATAATCATTATTTATTTGATTCATAATTTTTTACATATACAAAGTGATTTGATCAGATTCACTCTCTTACTTTGTTATCCTCTCTTAGTCCCTTTCACTCCTAACAAACTCCTTCTTCAAACTAGTCTCTCACCTACCATGTCTTTATTGTCATGTGTGTGTGTGTGTGTATGCAAGTTGTGAATGTGTGTCTGTGTGTATTGTGCACTATATTTCATTAGAATGTCATATATAAGCATTAAAGGGGGAGTATTTAACTGAACAGTGATGGCAACTTTCCAGTCTTTACATCACTGAGTAACTATTAATGAAAACTCCTCAAGGAGAGGTAGGGTTTCATGAGTTTCTCTCCCACCCATAATGAATTACTGACAGGCCAATTCTTAATGCAAGTGTTGATCAGGTAAAACAGCTGTTTCACGTTCTGCCACAAAATGCCCAGAATACAATGCTACATAAATTCTAAGGGATTACGATTCCATACTCTTTAAACAAATACAACATTCTCTGAGCATAAAAAGCAATTTGTGATAGTAGTCTTTTAAAAAAAATGACTAAAGCTTGTGAAGGATTTTTAACTGTTTTCAAATCAAATTAAGCAAGTAGTATATGTCCACTACTAAAAGATGACTGTTCCCCAGCAAAAATATACATGAAAGTATATTTGTTTATATAACGTTGACATTTAAAAACCATGTTAAAAAATTTGCCCCTCTACCCTTTTGCCTATGTAGACATTGGTTCTGGGATCAGTAACGACCACCCTCAGTTGCATTGTGCATTTAAAGTTGACATTTTAAAGTCGTGTTAAAAAATTTGCCCCTCTACCCTTTTATCCATGTAGATATTTGTTTTGGGATCAGCAATGACCACCCCCTGTTGCATGGCGCACCCCCTCCCCTGCCCACCTGCTTGAGCTCCAGCACACCAGCCCTCTATTTGTATCACTCTTCTCTGCTCCTTCAGGGCTAATGCAGGAAATCTGAATCAACTGTGGCAACAGCAGACAGCCAGTCTGATTCCATTATATGGAAATCTGCCTTCCCGTGCTGAAGGCAAGAAAGCCATGCATTGAAACCGACCATGTCACAAATACTCAACCTGCTTTTCCTAGCTTCTATTCTTCTAGGGCAACATTGGAGAATTAGAGAAACAATGCACCTGAAAAGATTTCATGTTTAGTAAGACTACAGTTAATATAGATTGGCAGGTTAGGAAAGTAATTTAACTCCAAGACACTGGGGACTTTGTTTTTAGCTAGTGATTTTTATAAGCAATAAAGTCCAGAATAAATACTGGCAACACACTGGTGAGCTTCCTTTTGGCTACAGCAAATCTCTTTATGCATGCGGTTCAAGTCTGCTTGTCTTTTATCCGAGTAAACTTCAGCCACTGTTGACTTGCCCTCCATCTGCAGAACAGAAGTAGCCTCACCTAAAACCCATATTCCAGTGCAAATGGGCCTCACATGCTGGCCTGCTGTGACAAGAACCTAATACATTCTACGTACCTGAGCTTGTAAGTGTCTAGGAAGATATGGGATCTTTCTGTCTCTCGCATCTAAGGCTGTCACAGCTAATCAGACAATTTCAAGAAATCAG